CAAACGGCAAAAAAAAAAAAAAAAAAAAAATGTCACGTAGTAGAAAAACAAATAGGAAACAGCAACTGAGCATCTCCTGAGACTGGACTTGGTCCCAGCACAAGCTAGCTACCCAAATGCCATTTCACTTGACTATTGTGTTTTTGTGTGGCTCTGACCCAAATGTCAAGATTCTCCCCCTTCCCAAGTACTTTATTCATTCTGTCTACAAATGTATCCTGAGTACATACTTCGTGTCAAATATTTTTGTAGATACTGAGGCTTCATCTGCGAATAAAACAGCCAGGTCTCCAACTTCATGGAACTTCTATTCATATATGGGCAGTAGTCTGCAATTAGGATAAGCAAATAAAACACAGTATTACATAGGGATAAATGTGAATGAGAAAAAAGGCCTTATAGATCAGTGTAAGAACCTTTCTTACTTGGAGTGAGATGGGAAGTATTGAAGAATTTTGAGTATAAAGGAGTGGTGTGATCTGACTTATATTTTATAAGAGGCTTGCTCTGGAAGAGCAACTTTTAGGAAAGAGGAAGAATGTTGAGAAAGTGAAGGAAATGGGGCGTAATTGAGAGAATAATCAAAGTATGTTATATACGTATATGAAAATGTTAAAATGAAACCCTTTAGTCTGTATAACTAAAATGCACTAATAAAAAAATAGAAAGAGATACTAAATAATTTGTTTTTTTCAAAAGATCACTTTGTTTTGTGGAAAGTAAATACTGTCTCAGGCCTGGATGGTTGACACTGAGTTGATGAAAAGATACTGGGTTTGGGGATATACTTTGAAGGGAAGATTCAACTGATTATGCTAATAGATCAGATATAGGAAGTGAGGGAAATCAAGGAAGATAGGGCCACCACATTGCACAACACCAATAACATTGATAAAAATGTGACTAGTGTCCCTGTATTGTGTATCACAGCATCTCTGCCCAAGATAATGCCACCAATTTTAGTCTGAGAATAGAAGGATATAGTTGCCACTAACTGCTTCGAGTAGAATTGCCTGCCTGGCATGCATGAGGGCCTGGATTCCATCTATCCCTAGTACCACAAAAACAACAAACAAACAAAAAAATCTAGTTGGCCAAAGAGCTGAGTGTTGCAAATTCTTGAGAGAACTTAGCAACATAGAGTTCACTAGTGGCCTTGAAAAAAGCTGTTTCAGTGGACAAAAGCATGATTAGAATGTTTCAGGAGGGAAAGGAAGGAGAAAAATTATGGACAGGGTGCACAGATAAATTTTGAAGAGTTGTACTGAAAAGAAGAATTTTGCTCCATAGAGTTCATTAGTGGCCTTGACAAAAGCTGTTTCAGTGGACAAAAGCATGATTAGATTGTTTCAGGAGGGGAAGACAGGAGAAAAATTATGGACAGGGTACACAGACAAATTTTTGAAGAGTTTTGCTGAAAAGTAAAGAAATAAAGTAATAACAACTGGTGTCTGAGGTCAAGAGGGGCACTGAAAATAGGGGAAGCAAAAGAAAGTTTGCTCCCTGCGTACTCATTGGGAGTTGGAGTTCACTTGGCCTTTTTACATGTATTTCTTGGGGTAGTAGTTAGCTGTAGGGACATTAAATGTCACAGGAGGGGATATTGCAATACATTTGAGTAGAATTAACTATAAGGAAGCCCATGGATACTCTTTAATAAAACTGAACCCAGAACCTCTGCAGTTAGCAAAAGAGAGAGTATCTTCTTCGTGGAAGACATTGGAACAGTGAGACCCAGCTGTCTTCCTTGCCCACAGGGTGATTCAAGCCTCTTTGCCAACTTTGGAGGGTCTGGCCTCTGTTACACTAAAGAGAGACTGTGTGTCTCCTTCTAGAAACATTATCTATTGTATGGAAGGGAGAGAAAAATAAATTCTTACAGCTACTGTGAATATGAGTAAACCTCAGCTAGAGTTTGAACCAAGTGGGGAAACTGGCATAAAAATTCAGGCCATGGCTCCACTAATAATCTCCCTGATAGAAGACAGTAGAGTGCTAGACTTGCTTCTTAGCTTTATGTTTAGTAGTAATGGTTTTGAAAACACAGTCAAGTTTTCCTCATCTCCAGGTAGTGTTTTTGTATGAATTTCTTTTCTATTCTCATGTCTTCAAGGCCTAGCTCATGTGTCATCTGCTCTGTGAGCCATCTTTAAGTCCTCTCTCAGGCAAAATGAATCATTTCCTCTCTCTCTGTAGCATTGTCCCTTGCTCCTTCCTAGAACATATCACATATGTTACAGTGCTGTGTAGTTGGGAACTAAAGAGGCAGCAGAGTGTAGTGTGTAAGAATATGAGCTCTGCAGTAGGCTGTTACCATGGTTTGGACCTGAAATGTCCCCCAAAGACTCATATGCTAAATACATGGTGCCAGCCTGTAGCACTGTTGGGTGGTGGTGAGAAATTAGATCACTAGGGGCCTTTGAAAGGGATAGCAGAACCTTGGCCATTCCTGTCTGTCTTTGCGTACCTCAATGAAGTGCATAATTTTTCCACCACATGTTCCCTACTATGCTGTACTGTCCCAGCATGTGATGGGGCCAAGTGACCATGGACTGAAACCTCTGCAACTATGAGACAAAATAAATGATTTCCTCCTTATAAGTTGATTGCTTAAGGTATTTGGTCACAGTAGTGGAAGGCTGACACAACTGCTATGTTCAAATGATGCTTCTTGAAAATGTCTTAATCTCCCCATTCCTTGATTTATCACTTGTCTCATGTCAATTTAATAATAATAACATCACTGGCGTTTTGTAATAGAGACTCTGTGAAGAGGATGCAAATTAATACATGTAAAGTACTTGCAACAGTCCCCAGCTCATAGTAAGCACTCAATAAGCTTTTGTTTGTCTCTCTTTTCCTTGAGGAATAAGATATCCTTATCTTTGTACCATTAATGCTTAGCACTGGGCTTGGTATAGAGTACCAGTTGCTTAATCAATTTGTATGAGTAAACCAGGTTCTAAATTAAACCAATTTAAGTCCTTGTTTAATGGTTTTATATGTGTGTTAGCCCTTTCACTGGATCACTCATTCATTCCTGTGTACCATTGTTTTTTCACTTACTAGTTGCATGAGGTTAGGTGTGATATTTAACTTCAGTGCCTCTCACCTTCCTTACATGGAAAATGAAAACAAAACAAAACCAAAAACAGGATGTTAAGCACAAAGTTATTCAGCATTTAAATGTTAACAAGTGTTGTTAATATTATCACTAATTAAGTGATTTAAGGACAACCTACAATGTTCCAGGGACTGTGCTAGACAATAGGGATAGAGAGATGAATGCGTCTCGGTCTCTGCTCTCAGAAGGGACCAATTAATAGGAGGGAATCATGAGGGGGAAGAGCAAGGTGTTAAGGTTTTATGGAGAAAAGAAATCCTGAGTTTTGCATTTGGAGGCTGCCAGTCCTGGGATATTAATACCAAACAAATACCAAAATCCCTTTTGTGATGCTTTACAAATGAGTTTTAGAATAGATCTTTCCCATCACATTTCTTTAATAAGACCACTTAACAAAAGACCCCTTCCTGTATTTTGAAACTTATAGAAGTTGTTCTGGGGAAACAGTGTGCTGTCAAGCTTTCCCAAGGGCAGCAAACATGGTTTTGAATAGCTTTCCTTGGGCCACGCTACTCTTTCCTTTTGCAGTTAAGTAAGAGGGCTCTCGTAGGCAGAAGACTTCACTTCAGATGCCAGTGTCCTGCCCACTCCTTCCCTCCAAGTAAATTTTCTGAAAAGATTGACATTTAGATTCTTCCCATCCTCACCCCAGGAATCAAGCAGGAGGGAAGTAGAGAGTGGCTTATTTTCCAAGAAAAATCTTGGGCCCTTTTCTAGGTCAACCTTTTAATAGGGGCCTCTCAGAGATGGTGGGACTAGAGTTACACTCAAATTACTGAGATGAAGAGCAGGGTGTGGGTAGAAGGAAACCTTTGCTTTTTTGTCTTTTAGAAAACCAATAAAACCATTGAAGCTTGTTTAGTTCCCCCAAGTAGTTAATGAGAACAATAGAATTTAGAGTTCCTGGTGTTCCTCTAGAGCTGATTTTGGCAGATGATAAGCAGCTTGTAAAAGGGCTTATTATTTGAGTAGAGCTTTGGCTGCCTGACTTTTAAGGTTGATTATTTATTTTGCATGTTGTATAACAGGAGCATTGGGCAATGCTCAGAAGAGGCCTTCTGGGTCAGAGATGTGAAAGCTTCTCTGATTGTCTCCTCCCAACATAACTGGACTCCAGCTGTGGAGTAAGGGACAAGCTTGTATACAGGGCCCAGGCGGAGGCCCTGGTAGAGCCTCCTGCCACCAGGCAGGCTTCCTTACTGCTTTCTTTAGTGGTTGAAAAGGTTGAAATTTCCATCAAATCTAACCCAAGAAAAATTTCTATGTGTATGTAAGTTCTCAAACCTTCACTAGTGATCAGCTTTTGAAACAAATGTTTTTAAAGACATAGTTTAGTCATTTGCAATGAACAGTCATTATGGGGCCCCAGTCATCACAGTAAGTACATGCTCTGAATGTG